ACATTTCGGCGGATCAGCGGAATTGGATCTTAAATTCGGTCACCCAAATATATTACTTTGTGTAATGTTGACTGTCAAATGACTTCAAGCCACCCTATCATCGAAATGAAAATCATAATGAAACATAATGAAACTCAGCGTCAAACCAATCTCCCGACACCAAAACCAATCTCTTATCAACATAAAGAAAGAGAAAACACTCCGAAAACTCCGTAAGTTATGTAGTTTTTACTTTAATAGACTAAGCAACTATGACCTACTGTCACATATATATACATGTAAGCATAAATGGAAATTCAAAGTTCACCGGGTGTTTCTTGTCAACTATGCGCAAATAAGACATTTAAAAACACTAAAGGATTACTTTTACATCAGCACAAAGTTCATAAACCAAACTACCACAAAAATAATCAACTTTCCAATATTAATTCCTCACGTATATATTGTGTTTTATGCCCAGGAAAAAGTTATAAGAATCAACGTGGACTAAATCAACACGAAGCTATAGTTCATTCTAATTACAATATACCCCGGGCTGGTATAACACTACAGTCTCCTGAAGCGACTTCTGAATTTAAAAGAACTTTAGTTTTTTTAATTCAGGATAAATTAAAAAATGGATTTCAAACACAAAAACGACATATAGTGAATGTACCATGTTTGGAAAGTTTATTCATAAGTATCTTTCAAGGAAATATCAAAAGAAGTTCGCCAAACCGTGGATGGTATTATTGTGTGTTTACAGGGGAAGAAGCATATGATAAGTTGAGTAATGTATTTGAGGATTCAAAGTGGGGTGTGCGCGAATATAAAAATCATCAACAAACTTGGGTAATTTTAGTATCTCAAGATTCGAATCATGTATATAGTTCTTTTATACAACCAAAAATGGAAATTTATTGGAAATGTAGACAAATTAAAGATGAAGCGAATCATATCTCAGAAGCGGGATACATGTCTTTAAGCTTTGTAATTGATCAAATTTATTATTAGAAGATTACAATTATTAAATCTAATAATACAGTATTTATTTGTTATTTGTAATTGTAATTGTTCTATCTTTTTTAAAAAATGTGGGAACATTGTGTGTATAAAAAAAGAGTACTCTATTTTCATGTTCCATTATTTCTACAAGTGCTGATCTTCGCTTTTCACCAATTCCACCATCCTTTAATGTTTTTCGAAAAAAATGGGTAATTTGTTGATGATTCTTTTTTTCCACTGGTGAGCAGGAAAATACATGTAATCCAAAGTCTTTATGTATTGTTAGAAATTCCGGAATATGAAACACCAAGGTATGAATATAAGGTGTTATATCGCTAGGCCTATATAAGCCTTTAATGAATGTTGCTGGAAAATTTGGATTTCCAGAAGAACGTGTTAGGAATAAGTCAAGCCAATCTAATGTTTTTTTTTTAAATTCAGGTCCAGATACTCGAAATTGGTGAATATCTTGATATAATTCGTTAAATCCATCCCATAATTGACGTATTTGTGAAGCACGTTTAAGATTTTCAAATAGAATATTTAAGTTAAAGTTTTTTAGTACTTTAAGCTTATCTTCACCATTTAAAGAAGTTGATTTCCAAGTTTTACTTTCAGAATCCTCCCACCAATGAAAATTAACATGAATACGTTTCATTTCTTTACTAATTTCAATTCGGGCTTTTATATTTGTCTTGATTTGTATTTCTGCCATTAAAAGTTGCCATAAGCGATCAGTAATTCGTAACATAACGTGCAGTTCATCAACAATCCAATGTGATACTGGAATCATATAGAACAATGGTAAATGATCATGACCAGGTATAGTTAAGTAGTTATTATATATATCATTAATATTTTTTGAAATATTCCAATTATATGTTTGATCGCCATTTTGATTTTTGTGAATAGTGCACCAAAGACAAAAGTGATCAGAATTTGCTGCTTTGTGTCCCATACAAATTGCCAGAAATTTCCAATCAGCAGAAAAGTATAACTGAATTTGCCATCTTCGACCTTGTTTATCCCAGTAACCATTTATGATATTATTTAAATCTTTAATTAATGGTGCTAAAGCTATTTTTAAATTATTATATTTTTCGATACCAGGATAGAGCATAAGAGTATAGTGGTGATCTGGATGATATATATTTGTATAATCATTTAGTAATGCAAAGGTAACCATAACATGATTTACCTTATTACCCACATTCCGCCCATCTCCTGATATTCTAATATGTAATATAGGATTATTAACATTAATAATTTTTTTTTCTAATAGTGTAGGTATAATGTAATCAAGTATGTCTTTGATTGATCGGTAAACTCCTTTTCCAATTGATTTAGTTACTTCATCTATGATTTCAGAATCATTAATCAAATTTATATCTATTTCATTATTATCTGTACTATCAATGTCATGTAATAAATTTAAATCGATTAAATGAATTGGAATTAACTCTATCATTTGTTGATTAATTTGTTGTCGCATATTAGAAACAGCCCATTCTCGTGGAAGGTTATGTCCAATTGCTGCTATTAGTCGATATGCTTGTCTTGAAATTTTTTCACTATCCATTGCTCTAATTATCGCTTGTTGTTGTAAATCGATACTTTCATTATTTATTTCGTTATAATTAATATGAAATTTTTGTAAATTAACTGTAAAAGTTAATCCTTCAAAAGTTACATTATCTTGATTATTAAAAGTTTGTGTTACTTGTTGCTCAAATAAATTTAATAATTCTTTGCCAAATTTTGTACTACGTTTTAGTTGCATCGAATTACTAAGATCAGAAAATGGTTTGCAACTTCTTGTTTGACGTTTATCACGAATTTCACTGATTTGTTTTAACTGTAATCCAAAGAAATATATTCCATTTAATTTGGTTTTTTTTATTTTTTGTTTTTTTCCAGTTTTTTTTTCTTCTTCATCAGCAATTAATTTATTATATCGTCGAATATAGGTTGTAGCTGCATCAGATGCACTAGATCTTGAAGTAATTACTTCAGTATTATTATTATATGTAAATTCGATTTTAAATTCAGGTATATTATTTTGATAATTAATCGAACATATCACAGTTTTTTGTGCTTTGCCTCTACCAAATGTAGTCTCAACTACATAGTCATGAGGAATTCTATATTGGTTTGGTTTTAATGTATAAGAAAGAATATTTTTATTTGGATAAATTCCTTCTTGAATAATACGATAAATAAATTTATTGCATGGTGTTTTGGCTTCGATTACAGAACTTTTTGGATAGTTTTTTGTTTCGAACATCTTGTTATTTTTCAAATGCAAATATAAAAAAAATAATCATTATAACAATCGCCAAATTATTATTTATATCAGTAATTAAAATTGCATTATTGTTATCGCTATATTTTTTTTAACTACCGCTACAATATACTCTAATACTAATAATTACGTATCAATTGACTGACTCATTTTGACCGTAGTTTAATATTTTTGGGGTATTATCTCAATCCGCTGTAATGA